CTACTAAGTTCTAATAGGCCGATCTCACTTAAAATTGGTCTAGGAATGATCAGCTCATGGTCCTGACAAAGTTAAGTTAACATTATACTATTTTTTACTCAAATTGGTACATATTTCAACAACAAAAATAAATATTGTAGACTCAGGTGACCGTTAAGGCCCATGGGCCTCTTGTTTATTGTCCCGAGACTACAAAATATAATACAGACATATATACTAGATAGGATATATATAGGTATGAGGAAATGTGTGACAAGTTCACGGGGAATACTTCAGAAAACCAATATTTATCAACGTTTCGTCACTTGAAGCAATCGATGCACCGTAAGCGGGCTGGTTATGAAATTCAAGTGTACGTGTGTCGGGTATAGACTTCTCTCAGTATTGATTTAATGACGTCAATGATTAAAAAAAATCACGATCAGACTATCGAATATAACAGACATATAGTACACAGCTAATACACAAACGATTGCACAGATATACAGAAATATAGTACGCAAGGGACTTTACCCCTTACCTGTACACATCTACAGAAATATAGTACACAAGGGGCTTTACCCCTTACCTGTACACAAGGGACTTTACCCCTTACCTGTTCACATCTACAGAAATATAGTACACAAGGGACTTTACCCCTTACCTGTACACATCTATAGAAATATAGTACACAAGGGACTTTACCCCTTACCTGTACACAAGGGACTTTACCCTTTACCTGTACACATCTACAGAAATATAGTACACAAGGGACTTTACCCCTTACCTGTACACATCTACAGAAATATAGTACACAAGGGGCTTTACCCCTTACCTGTACATATCAACAGAAATATAGTACACAAGGGACATTACCCCTTACCTGTACACATCTACAGAAATATAGTACACAAGGGGCTTTACCCCTTACCTGTACACAAGGGACTTTACCCCTTACCTGTTCACATCTACAGAAATATAGTACACAAGGGACTTTACCCCTTACCTGTACACATCTACAGAAATATAGTACACAAGGGACTCTACTCTTTACCTGTACACATCTACAGAAATATAGTACACAAGGGACTAACCTTTATTTCAAGTGTAAACATTTTTTTTAAATATATACGAAAACACCCAAATTAACCACATGTCTTCTAAGCTCCTAAACTATTTCTAAGCCCAAAATTAATATATTAATACATAAAAGATATTTTTGGTAATATACGTTGTTGCAAACGGACAAGGCCCACAATTTACTTTATTGTTAATCATACTTGAATTCGTTTTAATTATACTACATGTTTGCTTCCAATGGACAAATCTGAATGCTTAATACTTCAAAAAAGTAATTGTAACCCAAAAATGCGCCAAAGAGCTTCAATTCAGAGCTTCAATTCAGAAGAATTTACACATTTTTGGACAACAAAACATTCTGCCTGTTATACAAAGCTTTAGTACGACCACACTTGGAATATGGAGCATGCGTTTGGAAACCATACAAACAACAGGATATCAACCTTTTGGAAAACGTTCAGCGGAGAGCTACCAAATTGCTGTAATGGATGAAGGATATTTCATACGAGGAAAGAATGCATAGACATAAACTTCCATCATTAGTCCATAGAAGGAACAGGGGAGACATGATCGAAGTATTTAAAATATTGTCAGGCATATATGATACATCAGGATCAGCGGGGCTTCTATTAATTAAACAAGACAAAAGAACTCGAGGACATTCATTCTGCATGGACAAATCAAGAAGTAGATTAGACGTTCGTAAATACTCGTTTACTAAGCGTGTATACGTAGTCAGCAGCTGGAACTCCTTACCCGAGAACGTGGTCCAAGCACCGAATATTATAACATTTAAAAATCGCCTTGATAAGTTTTGGGACACTGGCGACAGGATGTTTACAATAACACCCGAGTGATGTCACATACACTATATTACATGTATATAATTATTATTTGAAGGACTGTGATCTGAATATAGAGGCAAAGGTATATGCCTGCGTTCAGAATAATCTAGGTTAATCTAAGTTAATTCCAAATTTAATATTCCCCGGAAAGGGGAGTGCTTTGCACAAGAACCTTCGATTTAGGACATAGTTATTACTTCAAGTACATGTAATTGGAATCTCTCTCAGTCGTCGAACATACTAATCACAGGAATGCTTTTGATTTGTTATGACATATTTAAACCCAATTAAGTATGGGGACCTTTGTACATGTACAAGATATAAGACCACACATTTACAATGTACATACAGGTACAATTAACTAACACTTGATTAATACTTGATAAATAGTATGCCAATATTTTTTTTTATAAATATAAAGGCAACACATTGTTTAATATGCACGCGCATCATATATGCAACTTCATTAGCAAAGCACACAGTACAGGTGTCTGATCGCACGTCGGGGACGGTTTCGTACGTGAAGAGGTTAGCATTTGTAACAAATCTTTCATTAATATTTTTTTTATAGAATACTACATTCCTATGTTATATAATTAAGAGTCTAATTTGAATAAAACAACACACTAGTGTACTGTAACGACGAAAACGAAGATTTGCAGTCCGACGGACAGCAATAGCAGAGATATTCCGAACAGATTGACCAGACGAATTCCATAGCTGACGTCTTTATCCTGACAGCAATCACAGAAACATCCGAATGTTTTCAGAATAAAATTGCACCAGGTGACGGGAGAACACTTGCAATCTTTACAACTCAATGTGCAACAACATATCGGAAATGGAATTTCACATGTGCAGAAAAAATCGCGGGGTTTGACTTCGCAGCAATAGTCATTATTGCGACAGCAGCAGCATCGCCACCATTGGTTGCAGCATCCAACATTCCCAGTCATGTGATCATAGCTCACACACAGACGGAAGATGGCGCTTGCGCACGCACTGATGCTAGCTAACAGCGCAAAGAGATTGATATTCACGTTGTTTGGTGGACATTTACAATGGAACAGCAGCACTATCATGATGATCGCCTGGGGTATTTCCTCCAGGAATATGGTCAAAAATATTTCACTCTGTCCCGAGAGGATCCGGAAAAACTTCTTCTGCCGAACGATAGAAATTGTTTCCATAGTGATGTTAATACACTGAATGATAGCTATAAGTGACCCTAGCAACATAAAAACGGTCAGCGAGGTCCATGCGTTTACCGTGTCAGAACATATGGATGTCCTGACCTCGGTAGTGCTGATGTTCAAATGACTAAAGACATCAGTGTTTACAACACATTCGCCATTGCTTACCAAATTATCTTGCTTTACAAAGGGAGATGGTCCCGAGGCACCTACTATCCAGTCATTAGCAAGATCCCAGAATATGAGTAAACACGTAAAAAATCGCAACAGGATGGTGAACCCTACACTGGGTCTGTCTTTCTTCATTTCATCGTGCATGTCATGCTGACGATATTTCGTTCCATTCATCTTGCTTGTCGAGCCCGGCCTGCCGTTCGCCATTTCCCGGCTACGGTAGATATAGTTGTTATCGTCGTAATTATCTTTGGCTCTGGTTTTCCCCAAATCATTGAACATGTATCCGCGCTGAGCTGATGGCAATGAACCATTGCTCCTCCTATCTGGCTCCCGGTATTTCGGCTGAAACCCCGAATTGTCGTAGGCAAATCTGATTTGCTCGTTCGAACCGCGAGAGGACATCGACGCATGCCTGGATTTACCACCAAGATATCGCCCTCGGAAACTTTCCTGGTATGGGTCCCTGCCCGGACCTCTTGTGAACCCAATCTGATCACTATCTTTCTGCGGTAACGGTCGAAATGGTTGCTGAACTCCGCCGGGTGGAAAAAAAGTCCCACGATCTTCTTGGCCTAATCTGCCCATATTGCCATTAAACCCGGTTTCCCGGAAACCCTCCGGACTCCGTCCCCTTGGAGACAAATGTCCCCGATCCCAAGACGGAGAAGTGGAATCGAGACCTTTAGTCGGACTCCATTGTTCGTGTGCTCTTGGTTGTGGGTAACGCCCATCTGGTGGCGGGTCTCGGTACTCTCTGTAACGGTTGTAGTCGGCAGGGGGGTCCATTCTATATAATGACAAATCGGAAGTTTAACTTGTATACAGTTCGTTAGTAGTGAGCTACAGTTACGTAGTGTGTAGCTACCAATCCCGTGTTACGTAATGCCACTCCGAACAACGTTATTTACACCAACTGATTGTTTTCACGTTAATTAGTAATCACAATCATATCACATGTCCGATGTTTGTGGTGTTCTGATACCTTCTCCGTACCAAATTAACTCAATTTCAGATGGTTGTCAGACAAACCAAATTCCGTACAGAAAACATGTCTGTTACCTAAGCATATCCAACTTTGACGAATGGGTTGCACAATTACTCTTCCTGGTTTATATAGCAGGTGCTTGTCTGTACGTGTTGTACAATAGTGTGTGTGTGTGTGCATAGCTACCACTGACTACCCACATTTGTACTGAGTATAGATAGCGCGCCTACCTTGTAAATCACTGATAACAGGCGACAGTTGTCATTTGTCACCAAACAATCCTCACACAATCAATATTAGTAGATTCACGCGAATGTTTACGGTAGTGAGACTCACTCCCCATGCGGTACGTAATAATGAACAGCTGTATTTATTCAGATTGACTCACTCCGTAATTATCGCTAATAAAGCTATAGTGTTGTTCTGGATTATAAGAATGTTAACGTTGAGTACACACTATACACCTCATAATCGAAGTGCATTGTTTGAGACAGTCCGCGGCGGACTTTAAATGGATAGTCTTTGTTTAGCTGTATGCGTGTCTGTACTGTTGAACGTTTGCGTACAAAGCATAGCCATGTGACTATGCACAATTGTTTAAATGTTGATTCGTTACGTAATAACACACGATAAAAGACATCCCGTACTTACAGATAACCGTTAGCTGTATTGCACACGTGTGTTTTGTATCCTATGACTCTACCTGTACGACGAAAATCACTAAAAATTGTTAGAGACGATTTGCATTCTCATGTCCCAAATATTGATTCTTGCACAGTGTGGAACATACGTTACTGTTAGCCTACTGTCGCTTTGTTATAGACATACGCAGTGTGTCAGTAATAAAAATGTCTGAAACAATATGACGCAATATTAAATAATGTATTCACATCTAAGTCGAATACTCGACAACACCGTTTAAAACACACCGTCAGCTTCATAACGTTCGTTATAGGAAGCATAATGTAAATAACGTCGCTAAAACACGCCGTTAAATTGACGACACACTCTTAAAGAAGTCATCAGGTTATTAACGTCGAAAAACACGTCGTAAACTTGATAACATACTCTATAGTAAGTCACATAGAATAATTACCTTAGCTGTTACAAGGATACCGTCGTCCTCTGACCTTACTTGTAGCGAGGACACCGTCGTCATATGACCTTAGCTGTTGCAATGATACCGTCGTCATATGACCTTAGTTGTTGCGAGGACATCGTCGTCATATGACCTTAGCTGTTGTGGGGCTACCGTCGTCATATAGCGTTAGTTGTTGCGAGGACACCGTCGTCATATAACCCTAGTTGTTGCGAGGACACCGTCGTCCTATGACCTTACCTGTTGCGAGGACACCGTCGTCATATAACCTTCGTTGTTGCGAGGACACATTTGTCATATGACCTTAGTTGTTGCGAGGACACCGTCGTCATATGACCTTAGTTGTTGCGAGGATACCGTCGTCATATAACCTTAGCTGTTGCGAGGACACCGTCGTCATATGACCTTAGTTGTTGCAAGGACATCGTCGTCATATGACCTGAGTTGTTGCGAGGACACCGTCGTCATATGACCTTAGTTGTTGCAAGGACATCGTCGTCATATGACCTGAGTTGTTGCGAGGACACCGTCGTCCTATGACCTTAGTTGTTGCGAGGACACATTCATCATATAACCTTAGCTGTTGCGAGGACATCGTCGTCATATGACCTTAGTTGTTGCGAGGCCACCGTCGTCATATGACCTTAGTTGTTGCGAGGATACCGTCGTCATATAACCTTAGCTGTTGCGAGGACACCGTCGTCATATGACCTTAGTTGTTGCGAGGATACCGTCGTCATATAACCTTATCTGTTGCGAGGACACTGTCGTCATATGACCTTAGTTGGTGCGAGGACACCGTCGTCATATGACCTTAGTTGTTGCGAGGATACCGTCGTCATATAACCTTATCTGTTGCGAGGACACTGTCGTCATATGACCTTCGTTGTTGCGAGGACACCGTCGTCATATGACCTTAGTTGTTGCGAGGATACCGTCGTCATATAACCTTATCTGTTGCGAGGACACTGTCGTCATATGACCTTAGTTGTTGCGAGGACACCTTCATCATATAACCTTAGTTGTTGCGAGGACATCGTCGTCATATGACCTTCGTTGTTGTGGGGCTACCATCGTCACATAATCTTCGTTGATGCGAGGACACCGTCGTCATATAACCTTAGTTGTTGCGAGGACATCGTCGTCAATTGACCTTAGTTGTTGTGGGGCTACCGTCGTCATATAACCTTCGTTGTTACGAGGACACCGTCGTCATATGACCTGAGTTGTTGCGAGGACATCGTCGTCATATGACCTTAGTTGTTGCAAGGACATCGTCGTCATATGACCTTAGTTGTTGCGAGGACATCGTCGTCATATGACCTTAGTTGTTATGGGACTATCGTCGTCATATGACCTTAGTTGTCATGGGACTACCGTCGTCATATGACTTTTGGTGTTGCAAGGACATCGTCGTCATATGACCCTATCTGATGCGAGGACACCGTCGTCATATAACCTTAGTTGTTGCGAGGACATCGTCGTCATATGACCTTAGTTGTTATGGGACTACCGTCGTCATATTACCTTCGTTGTTATGGGACTAACGTCGTCATATGACATTTGGTGTTGCAAGGACACCGTCGTCATATGACCCTATCTGATGCGAGGACACTGTCGTCATATAACCTTCGTTGTTGCGAGGACACCGTCGTCATATGACCTTAGTTGTTGCGAGGACACGGTCGTCAATTGACCTTAGTTGTTGTGGGGCTACCGTCGTCATATTACCTTCGTTGTTGCGAGGACACCGTCGTCATATAACCTTCGTTGTTTCGATGACACCGTCGTCATATGACTTTTGGTGTCGCAAGGACACCGTCGTCATATGCCCTTAGTTGTTGCGAGGACACCGTCGTCATATGACCTTAGTTGTTTTGGGACTACCGTCGTCATATAACCTTAGTTGTTGCGAGGACACCGTCGTCATATGACCTTAGTTGTTGCGAGGACATCGTCGTCATATAACCTTAGTTGTTGCGAGGACACCGTCGTCATATGACCTTAGTTGTTGCGAGGACACCGTCGTCATATAACCTTAGTTGTTGCGAGGACACCGTTGTCATATAACCTTAGTTGTTGCGAAAATGTAAAATCTAACATTGATTAAATCAATTCCCATTGACTCGTTCTGGTTTGACTTCTACATTTATGACTTGATATTTTACGCTAGGTAATGTCTTACAAGACCAAAATCAAAATGTGTAATAGAAGGATATGTAATCTTTAACACTAAGCGAATCGAGGCAAACTTTTATCTGAGATTATGAAAAATACAAAATATAGCCTTTCAGATATTATATTGATTATTGTGCGCCGACCATAAAAATATGCAAACACAAATACGTACATACATGAATTGATAGAGTCACTGAATTTACGGAAAGTATGTGATAACAGAAGTGAAAGTTTTTCTTCTAAATTCGTCAGATACTTTATTAGCGAAAATTGAAATGCGAGACGCGATCAATCTGCTGTATACCCACACACTTAATCCAGGTTTTTGTTTACAATTAAGTCGTTTCATATATCGAACATACACGCTTACAACAAAACAGTATTTAAAAGCTGTCTATGATTTTACAAATACACGTGATTATACTTGAAATATATAAAATAACAAAACATTATTTTATATCTAGCCACCTTATGATGTAGTTACAATGTACACATTTGTGTGATATGGTCTATTTTTGTGTGTACTTTTTTATGAGATTGTTTCCTCTTTGCATGTTTGTATACTTTTATTTCAATTTTGTTGTGCTTTTGTTTCTTAATGCATATTTAGTTACATTTTTGCCTACTGTGATATTTGTATATATTCTGTCATAAGAGATTCTCTTCAGAGCTAATGTTTCATGTTATATATATATACGACAAAAAAAATATAGTTACTTTTATCTTGTATCTTGTACATGTACGGTACATGAAATTTTAAGGAAATAAATGTTCTTGTAAATTGTTCCAAATCCTACAATAAATTATTTTTAATATGATTTAATATGATACATTATGGACGCATGCTACAAGCCTCTATATCCATATCAGTACATACAACAAAAGTTACATTCTATATGAGGAATCAATGACATCCTGTGGAAGACTGTTCCACATATCAACAACACGGAAAGTAAAGAAATGTTTCCTTATGTAAAAGATGTGGATTAATTAGGTTGCCTTACAAGCGTCAGCTGTAGGGAATTTCCCTTTAGCTTAGCGGTAGAGCATCGGGATGGAGAGCCAAGGGGCTAGAGGGGTTAAGTGAGCACGCACCTGCTGTCAAAGGGTGGCCTCATTTTTTCATAAGTATGGACCTTCTAGAACATATTTCAGCTGGCCACCCCTCTGGGAAATCCACTGGGGATTTTTTGTGGGGTCATATATAACCCTACCTTGGCAAAAAAATGTGATTTTGAATAAAGGGGGGTAGGGGTCCAGAAAGTGCTATATCATTTCTCATCATCATCACATGAATAATTAGATGGTATATATAGATCATGTATGCATCACTTAAAATTTTGATATAGAAAGTTTACAGTTTGACCTCCATTCTAAAGGTCAAATCAAGGTCAAAGGTCAACTAACAGCAAAAAATATCGTTTTTTCCCCAAACCACTCTTTATTGTTTATTGTCCTTTCAAACAAAAATACAGAAATTGATGAAATAACTTGTTTTATTTGTGCCATGGGTAACATATCAATATTTTGTAGACCTATTTCCTTGTAATTCAACGAGGGGGGGAAATGGTGGCCACTTTGTTACGTATATTGTTATACAGAATGGAATTATAGAGTCCGGGGGTAGTGGTGCAGAAATGGGTGTAACTTATGTTATAGTCATTCTTCCCATTAATAGATGGTAGTTATTGTATGTTGAGTATGCATTGGCCATACTTTCAAAAGTTATACATTTTTGTTTGACGCTACTGCCATGGTCATATCAAGGTCAAAGGTCAAAAGTCAAAAGTCAAACGTGAGAATCTAATTTTTGTTTAATATTATTGACCATAAAAGATTGTTCCTCATACAAACCCATTAAGCATGTTTTAGCTGATCTCCTTGAAAAAATAAGAGGCATACTGCCAAAGTCCTATCTTGTAAGGAGCTATATATATAGATTGTGTGGTATTAGAGATCATTCCCAGGGACATTTTTATCAGGATCTGTGAATGTGTTCATACCAGAGTGGTGATAAGTTATTTTGTATTCAATGGTGTGAATATTAACTTCCAAAATGAATTAATAATATATACTGGGAAAGTTTTGCCCTACACTGATAAAATCCATATTCGCCTAGTGTAAATTTAGCCCTTCACATGTAATTATGATATAGGGTAAACCGTGTACTAATATTCACTGTCGCGATGAATTCGCCCTCATTGCGAAAATTAATCC